AGTTCTTATATAGATCTTAAAAGTCAACAACCTGGGTTCTACTCTTTTTAATTTTTGTTATTGATTTTAGAGGGAAAAACATTTTGTTGTTCCACCTATCTATACACTCATTGGTTATTTTTGTATGTGCCCTGACAAGGGATCAAATTCACAACCTTCGTGTATTCGGAGGACACTCTAACCAACTGAGCTACCCAGCCAGAGCATGAGTTCTATTCTTAATTCCTCTACTTGTTAATTGGTGAACTTGACATTTGTGCCTTAATTTAAAAATGGAGGTGACCCAGGCCAGTGTGGCTAACTGGTTGAGTGCCGACCTATGAACCAAGAGCTCAGGGTTTGATTCCTGATCAGGGCACATGCCCGGGTTGCAGGCTCGGTCCCCAGTGTGGGGCTTGCAGGAGGCAACTGATTAATGATTCTCATCACTGACGTTTCTCTCTCCCTTCTGAAATCAATAAAAATATTTTTTTTTTAAAATGGAGGTGATTTTTACCTAAGTACTGTTGAATGAAAATGGTAGCTAAAAATATACTTGTAGTTCTTATTAGCTTTCTATTAAGGAGAAAATACCTCATTTACTTACTGAATGTCTAAGAGGTTTCTTACTTTCCACAGCTGGAGGTAGGTTAATGCTGAAATGTTTTGAGCAGTGTCTAGGGAGGTACCAGAATTGAGGCTGATTAGGTGAAGATAAACTTGTTGGGTGTGCCAGGCACTTTCCTGGGCTTTTGTAGTACCACCAGCTATAATGAAAACACATACACCTTACCTCATGGAGCTTACACACCAGTGGAACCACTCAAAGATGTTAGCCCTATCTTTTAATTCTGTCTAGGACGCAGTGATTTACAAACAACCCCTGCAAACTGTTCATTTAATACAGCAAATAAAGCATTTAGTCCTTACTCTAGTATTCCCTTTTTCATGTTGTATCCCATGTTCTCAAAACTGTGAACCTCTTATGGCAAAGGTCCATTCATTCATCCTACTGTTATTGAGCTTTTACTATGTACCAAGTATTGTGGATACAGACAAGCTTGGATACTAAACACACACTTTGAGACAATAGTAAAGCAGCCACTTTCCCTGCCTGTTCCTAATAAAACAAAAGGAGGTAAGTCCTAAAAAGTGTCTGTCTCCACCATGAGAAATACGAGAACTTCCTTAAATCCACTTTGTGGTATAATTTGACTTTGAAATAGAAGCAAGGCATCACAAGTTTTTCAGTGAGCAGGTCTCTGAAGTTCTTGATCAGGTCTGACATGCAACAGTGAAAAAGAGAAAGTTCCTGTCATTAAAAATTTAAAACAGGGCTGTGCATCAGGGGGGTCATAGAATTCAGGAGGTCCATGAACTTGGATGGGAAAAAATTACATCTCTATTTTTAATAACTTCAAATAAAATAAAATTTGAATGTAGGTAACAGACCAGAGTAGTGTCCACGGAAAATGTTGACAACTTGAAGTATTTTATGTTCAATGTTGAAATTACAGCCAGTGCTAGATCTTAATGAGTTAATAAAGCATACCACGAATTTTAATTTTTGAAATTTCAATATTGGCTCCTTTTGTAACCCAACATACTGTACTTTAAAAATTTCTTTTGAAAATGACACTAAAAAGGCTGAGTCTAATGGTCTAAAGGATCATAGTCTCTGTTGTATCCTGAGCCTTGTACTTGATAATTACTCCATACTTAAAGAATGGCCCTAGCTGATTTGGCTCAGTGGATAGAGCATCTGCCTGCGGACTGAAGGGTCCCAGGTTCGATTCTGGTCAAGGGCACATGCTCAGGTTATGGGCTTGATCCCCAGTATGGGGCATGCAGGAGGCAGCCAATCAGTTATTTCTCTCATCACTGATGTTTCTATCTCTCTCCCTCTCCCTTTCTCTCCGAAAGGAAAAAAATATATATATACAAAAAAAAAAAATAGGCAGTCACACACATCAAAACATATGATTCTTGCCGACAGGGTCTGTATAGTTATCAGATTTCCTGTGCGATGGCTCCATACATGAAGAAAAAAAAAAAAAAGGAAGAAAAAAAAGAATGAAATGGATTTACAACTGGTTAAACGGCACTCTCCAAATATTGACTTTGAATGTTGTCTATAAGAGTACTGTAGGGTTCCTTATCCAAAAATATTTTTAAATGCCTTAGTTAAAGACATGGATCATATAACTTGCTCATTTCCCTAAGAAAACTAATACACCTCGGTTAAGCAATACTTGTTCATGTGGTTGGATTACATTCTTCACTGAATATATATGTACAAAAAAACATTAAAAAATATTTGGCATTTGCCTGGCCAGTGTGTCTGTGTATAGTATTGGCCAGAGCACCAAAAGGTTGAGGGTTTGATTCCTGGTCAAGGGCACATATTTAGGTTGCTCCCTGGCCTCAGGAAGCAACCAATCAATGTGTCTCTCTCACATCGTTTCTCTCTCCCCCACTCTCTAAAAATCAATGGAAAACATATCCTTGGGTGAGGATTAACAACAAAAAATTGGTAACTGTCTTGAAATTTCAACAAAAGTAAGATGTACTGAGCACAATGGAAAGAAGACTGAATTAGGAACACAAAAGGGGGGGCTACACTTAGAAGCTTGACTTTGGTAAATTATTTTACATTGTTGTTTTCAAGTAAAATTAGGTGGAGAGGAATCACCTAGTGAGTTTATTATTAAATGGTTATATTCAGGGATATATTTATATTTGATTAAGTTCATGTTCATATACTTAATTCTTAAAAATAAATGTTTTCAATTATCGAAACCTACAAAAAGAAAGAAAACGACAGAATAGAGGGCAGACTTTTTTGGTTAATCATTAACTACAGGCATTTAGATTTCAAATCTTGACTTTGAGATATTTACTGCATTTACCTTTAGTTGCACATTAAGCCCGAAGCTAAAATTATGCCAATTTGCTACAAATACAACAGTGGGTCAACTAAACAAGACTAGAAAATATATTTTCTTTTCCTGAATATAAACTCAAAGTAAAATGTTTAAAATGTGAATTACTAAAAAGTTTACAGAATGAGTGAAACTCCAAATGCTGAACCCTGTACGGTATGCTCATTTGTGTCCGCTTATAGAAATGTACACTTCAGAAAACATTCAACTCCATCTAAGGTGAGGCCTGAAAAGGTATCTTTTGGTAAATGTTTTTCTTTTTCTCCTTTAAGCTTACTTGTCTCAACTCTGTGATCAGGTTAGAATAATTTTTAGTGTAACTGCTGAATCTACATTACTTTGGGTTGCTGGCATTTCATTTTGGAGACAAGTAAGAAAATTGATTCTATTTTAGAAGGCAGATACAGAAAAGCAGACAAATTTCATAGCTTGGAATGTAAAAGCATTACTTCAGAACTATGTAAGACATGAAACAATTCTAAAATTTTTCATAATTTAGAAGATCATTTCTTTTAGAGAACAAATTACAGTGATCCTAAAGTAAGATTGGGCCTGGCTTACAAAATCAACTGTGGGCTTTTTCAAGCTACACATGTACACAAGCAAAATCTGTTTCTGTATAATTTTTTTTTTTTAAATTTCAGCCACCCTAGGTACTATAAAAATCTCTTCATAACTGAATTCAGTAAGAATTTTATATTCCTTATGTGGTAAGGGCTGAGAAGAATTGTTGTTGCTCTCTATCATAAGAAGAAATGGAACTATATTTTTTAAGAGCTTAGTCATGCAAGTCTGACTTATCAACAAATTGCTGAAAGAGTACATCTGAGGTCATCTCTATCCTGTCCTTGGGATCCTAACTACTCTGGGGCTACTTCCTAAAAATGTAAACACACACACACACACAAACTTATCTGTTCCCAAGCCCTCGGCTAAATGCTTTATATAGATTATTCTGTTTAATCCTCTCCCACACCCTTGAGGCTATTATCACTGAGGCAAAGAATGTTACTAATTTCTGTGATACTGTACAAGGCATTCAAGACAGATTTCAAACTGAAGCAGTAGGAAGCCAGAGGTCACTAATATTCTCCCAAACTCTAAAGTCAGTCTTCATTTACCATCTCCAAGAGGACCTCCTTCCTCCAAAGACAGACCCTAACTGTGTGAATCTTAGGGCTGCTTTAAACATTTCAAATGCTTGTTCTCTTGAGTCTTATCTTTATTCTTTAGCAGCTATAGATCAAAGAATGCTACAGGATTTTGAATGTGAAGATTCCAAACTTAGTAATGGAGTAAAATTTGGAGCAAAAAAAATACTATACCTGGCCAGTGTGGCTCAGTGGTTGAGTATGAACCAGGAGGTCAGTTTGATTCCCGCTCAGGGCAGATGTCCAGGTTACAGCTCCACCCCCAATAGGAAGTGTGTAGGAGGCAGCCAATCAATGATTCTCTCATCATTGATGTTTCTATTTCTCTCCCTCTCTGAAATCATATTGTCATCTGAGGATATGTTCCCATTGATTTTTAGAGATAGTGGAAGGGAGGGGGAGAGACAGAGAAACATCGATGTGAGAGACACATCAATTAGTTGCCTCCCATACACACCATGACAGGGGCCAGGGATTGAGCCTGCAACCAAGGTACCTGCTCTTGACTAGAAACAAACTCGAGATCCTTCAGTCCGTGCACCCTGCTCTATCCACTGAACCAAACCGGCTAGGGCAATAAAAATCTATTTTTTTTTTTTAAAGATACTATATTACATATGTTGCACCCAAATATCAAGAGTACTAAGCCCTAACCGGTTTGGCTCAGTGGATAGAGCATTAGCCTGTGGACTCAAGGGTCCCAGGTTCGATTCCGGTCAAAGGGCATGTACCTTGGCTGCAGGCACATCCCCAGTAGGGAGTGTGCAGGAGGCAGCTGATCAATGTTTCTTTCTCATCGATGTTTCTAACTCTCTATCCCTCTCCCTTCCTCCCTGTAAAAAAATCAATAAAATATATTAAAAAAAAATAAAAATCATTATTCTCCCCTTTAAAAAAAAAGAGTACTAAGATTCAATCAACAATTTAAAAAATTTAGGGACTTACTAAAAATTATTTTCAGAAAATTCTAGTATCTGGCTGCCTGTCTAGAGTCTTCTTTTAAATATCTGAATAGCTTTACCATAATTTTGTGATTGCATTAAACTCTTACCGAAAAAGTGTCTCTTATTATCACTTCCTTAGCATTAGACTAAATCCTTACTCTAAGAAATATCCAGGTAAGTCAAGATATTTTGGTATTCTTTCTCTCTCCCCAACTATCAAGTATAAATTGATCCCTGGGTGATTTCCTCATCTATATATATCACAATTCATTTATGGGTATAATTTGTAATAAACCTAAAATCTTTGCCGATACTGTTTACAGTATTACAGATATCCCCCATGTCATCTATAATTTAAAAAATACACAATAATTAGTTCCAACCCTACAGAATTAGGCAGGGATGGGTGGACAATAACTATGTATTTTTCGAGTTCTATAGGTGATCCTGACACTTAACCCTGTTGGAAAAAATCCTTGCTCTTTAAGCAATGACAATACAATACTACTTAATGATCTACCTATAATTATAATAAAAATCAATGTACTAATCCTATTTTATTTTTTTCCATCACATTTATCCCCCCTTTATCCTCCTCCCTAATTCTCTTTTGAGAGATGAGAAGAGTAGGTTTCTGTATCTACTTAAGGCCGTCCTAATTCCACTTTTCAGTTTTCCTAACCCAGTGTTTTCTTTGGGACACTGAGGTTATTGTTTTAGAAGCTGACAACACTGACTCCTCAAATATTAATTTTGTAAATGAAATTTCTAAAAGAATAGTATAGATCCTCCCTCCCCCCCCCCAAAACTTAAGGGTTAACTCATGGAATCTTACTTACTGTAGCTATTAACTAGATTCATTTCATTTCTTCATGGTTAGATGTCCATTGGATATAAGGCTAGAAAAACTTCAAACTACCCAAACATATGACAAATTACAGAAATCAGTGCATTACATAGGTCTCACTCTCACACATTTCTAAGAAATTTGTTGGTGTTTCTTCCCCCCACAAATTTGTCTTCCATAGTAACTCAAATTGAGGAGGTTATTGCTTAAAGAAATATCAATGAGCAAGTCACAATAATTTTGTATAAGACACAAAAACACTTTGTATAACCAACCCCTATAAATAATTTAAGTTTGAAACTAAGCCTAAATGTAAACCCGTCTAGTCTATTTTATATCTATTAAGCTTGAAACACTTCTATAGTTATACTGAAGGTCAGAAATAAAATAGTAAACACTTTGTTCCTTTTCTTATACTTACCACTGTTAACTTCAAAGGTATTTTTGCGTAACAATTATTTGCATGAGCCCTTCCCATTGTTATATTCATAGATAAATGAGACCAATACGTATTATCTTTGTTTAAAAATAAAACAAAGCCATTCATCTAGTGACTTGTACCCGGGAAACGTGACATATAAGATCATTCCTCATAAAACTGCTTACATTGAAGAGACTATTTCTACCATGCTTTCATCGTCTGGAATCATTGTGCCGAGCCTTTCTTTGATAAGAGAATTTGTTTATCAGCTACAGTTTTATTAACTTCTAGTAGTGTGAAGTGCCTACCTTCCTGACCCAAAATAACTAGTTACTTTTGTTTTCAGAATGAGGTGCAAAACGGAGGAAGACAAACAGCATAAAGTACATCAGCATTTTTAACCCTTCAGACACCCTCAGGAGGAAGAGAAGGCGCCCATCTTTCCACAGTGCAGACAGACTCTGAAAAATAAACACACAGCATTGCTTTAGTAACACAGTTGACATACAGGTCATTCGAGACACTAGACAAAATCACTTCAAGGACCAGTGGTTTTTGATTTCAGTTACTTCGTTTAAAAAATCAGTTGTTAAGCAGTGGTAATTAGGGAGTGCCACACACTTAAGGAAGTCGGTGATCCGTGCTAAGGAGCATCCCATCTCCGCAGGATTTGGGCGAACGCTCTCTGGGTTTTACCCAAGAACCCGTGCTACTCGGGAACCGATCGCCCGCCGTCATAATACCCCCTTCCACCCCTCCCCGCTTCTGCCGGCAGGTGTGAGGATACCATTTTAACCCGATTTGCTCATCCTTTAGGCCGCTCCTTATCCTTCCTCAACCGCGGGGCCAGAGCGCGGTCCGCCCCAAAGCACCGTCCGACCCCCTGCAGCTTGTCTACCTTCCAACATCGATTTCCTTAAACCCTTTTGCAAATCACTCTGCATGAAAAACCAACGAGGGTCCGAAACCTTTGGAAGGAGTAAGGAAAATAAATTAAGTTAAACATACGTTTGGAGGGGACAGCCCAACTCTGTGGGTGGAATCTCCTCCGACCACAGGCGAGAAGGTCGCCGCCCGGGGCCCCCGCACCACAACAAAGATATCGACCACCCCGACGGTCCTGTCAGAGGGTCTAAATGATGCTCCGAGCCCAGACGTGAACTGATTCCCTCAGTATCTTCCTTAGAAAATGGAGCAAGAGGCGTAGGGGGCCTAGGCAAGCCCCGCAGAGCCGTGAGGACGAGGCCCATTCGACCTCTGGAAGCCGCCTCCAGCCAGGCCCGCCCTACATCTGTCTCCAGATGAAATCTCCACCTCCCGGTTCCCAGGCTCCGGCCCCCGACCTCCTACGGGCTTGTCCTCCACCTCACCGTCCCCAGTACTCCACCACTCGCCTCCCGCGCTTCCTAAAGCCTCTGCCAGCTCCGCAGAATCGCCAGGCTCCCCCAATATGGCGGCCGAGCTTCGTTCGCTGCCTGAGTTCGCTCTGGGTGCGTCCGACCTCGGCGCATTCTGGGCATTGTAGTTCCGACAGCAGCCTCAAGATTCCGAACAGGCTTGAAGAAGACTACAATTCCCAGAATGCAGCGCTCTTGAGCATGGCTATTGGGGCCTTTTGGACAGAGGGATGATGTCATTGCAAAAACCCCACTGCATTCATTGTGCTACGGTCTATCCACCCCCCTGCTGCTGCTGGGCTTGTGATTGCCGCTCGCTCCAGCTGAGCTAAGAGTAGCAGCGGCATCAGGGCAGGGACTGACTCCAGCCCCTGGACTAAAGACTTCGCACCACCTTACGTTGCGTGCGTGACTCGTTCGCATATCATTTCTGTTTATGCCTGGGGTGGGGAGAAATATCCCAAACCAGGTGAGTTGAAGTGATTTATTCAAATGGTTCTACCAAGTTATTCCTCCCGCTTAATTCTCAAGGCTTTTCTTTTGGGAAGATGGGGGTTCGGGGGAAGGATTGGGGAGGTGCTCGCCAGCGCTGCTAAGCGAAAAGCTCTGTGCAATTTGGGTCACTGTGCAGAACAACTCCGGCAACCTTCCCCCGCGGGAGGACCGATGCCTGCCAATTCTCCAGTCGCAACTCCCCTCAACCTTCCTGAAGCCGAGAGAGGGGGCTGGGCTGGGGAGGATGTTGGGAAGTGCTCTTGGAGAATCAGAAGAAGGCTGAGGTGGGGGACCACTGCAGTCCTGTCACCAACGGCCCGCGTGCTGAGGTTTGAGTGGGAAGGGGCGATGCGTGGGGAGAAATGGAGACAGTGATTTAATGTGCTCGCACTACTTTAGAACATTTCTGTGTCGCTTGGGCGAGCACACGCTCTTCGCTTTTAAGCGGAGCGTGCTGCTTCTCAGTGGGCTAAGTTTTGTGGGGCTCTATTTTGCATGTGTGTCGGTGTCGCTTGCCTCGCCTTTTCTGCGGATTTGAGGTGACAGTGTCCTTTCATGGTGCACTCCGTGCCAGTCAGAAATGTTTCACGTGTCTCGGGAAGCTTCTCTTCGGCTGCTGGAGGCAGCCGTTTCGTTCAGCGTCCTTTTCTCGACTGCAGGATTTCAGGATTGTTTGGGAGTGGAGCTGACAGATTTGTGCTTGTGTGAGTGTTTTAAATTACATGGCAATAGGCTCCTTGCCACTGGCAGCGGTACCATAATGAGCTGCTGTTTCCTGAGGCACAGTCACCAGGCACGAATAACGGTTTGGAGAAGGGATCATTAAGGAAACCTGGGTTCATTTTAACGCGTTAGGGAAGGGAAAGTTAGAAGCACCGTTAACCTTCATTTGCCATTACTGAAAGGTACCCACGAAAGAGTGATCCTGGCCAAGGAAACCAAGGAGCATAGTAGTGTTATTTTTTGTTTGTTTGTTTATTTTGTTTTGTTTTCTTAAAGGAACCAACACATTTAACAGGACAGAAAGCATTCTGTCTTGTATGATGTTGGCTCTCTTCTTGTAAGTAATTAGGATGATTAGTGCAATAAATATGTTACTTTGACATAAACAACTGGCTGACTCAAGAACAGATGGGGCCAGTCTTAGCTGAGAGATCTACACCCTTGGAAATGAATAGACCTGGGGTCAACCACACCCCCCTCTTAGAATGTCAAAAGAAGGAGAAATGCCAGGCACTTTACGCTTAACTCTAAAATGCCAAACCTTTTTATAGTCAAGTCAGGCATTGGGGGGAAGTCTTTACTGGTTATCTTCTAGTGCTGAATTGATTTTGTTCGTTTTTAATTTTGATCCTTAGATCTCCAAAGTTACAGCTGGGTGATGCTTCATTTAATGCTGCTTGTTACTGAATGCAAAGGACAATCCATTGTATGGGCTTTGTAGTAGAGTGATTTATTGGAATGCAGTGACCAGCTTTTGGATTTGGGAAAAGATGGGCTGCCTGGCTTTGCCTCTCTCTTGCTTACTGTCTGCTTTGTGTTTCTCTATTGCTTTTTGGGGGCACCTTACTTGTTTCCCCTGTACCTTCCTTTCCCGACCCATCTACATCTCTCGAAGTTCGTTCAGTTTCTCTTCCCATGTCTCCACTTGCAATTCTCATTTTTCCTCTGTGTTTCAGAATCTCCCTCTCATCACCGGTATATCACATCTATTTCTTTAAGTTTCTTTCCAGTCTCTGAATACCCTCCCCGCCCATTCTCTACCCTACCCAGAAACTCCAGGCTACATGGAGGCAGTGTGCATATTTATTCCACGGGGTTCTCTTTGAGGAGGCTTTGTCCTTTCCCTTTCTTTCAGTTGGTGCTTGGCAGGATGAGCAACAACGAGCCTGACCCCTTCGCCTGGTTTGTGGCTTCTGTGGCAGCATGTGGACAATGAAATGTTGCAGTAGAGCTCATGCCAACTGTATTGCTACCTTTATTAAGAACTGCCAATGGGTTAGCAAGGTTTTAAAATGCTTTACCTGGAATGTTCTCATGATTCCCAAGGAATAAATAGATTTCAAATGGCTTTTGCCTCATTTAATACTTTCCCCTCACCCTTATCCCTGTTCCAGTAAGTGGTGGGAAGTCTGCCTTTCCCCCCTCCCTTCTCTGTTGATTGCTGAGGAGCATTATCCAGGGGGGACACCTTGAGCAAAGACATCTTTCTCTCCTGTGGTTTCTAATTTGTTATTTTAGAAACAAAGTTTGTTATTTTATTTCCCCCTCTTAAGAAGAAGAGTGTGGTGGTAGTTATATTTGTTTGTTTCACATGAGTGCTTCTCTAGGCATGGAAAGTCCAATGTCTAATTATCTAGAAGCAACTAGTATGACAGGCAGTTTCAGAAGCTGCCATCCTAGACCTCTCTATACCACCTTTTCATTTCTAGTATTCTTCTTCAAAGATGCTCCCTTTCTCAACCACGTTTTTTAGTGTTTTAGGGAGGAGAAATGCTATTTCCGTGCTCTTGAATAACTATGCAGTTCTTTCTATTTTAGTTTATATCTTTACAAAGGGATAATGATCCTCCCCCCTTGGTTTACTTGGCCTGCTACAATCTGGGCCCAGCCTATCATTATGACAATAAATATTAATTGAGCAGCTACTGTGTTCTAAGGTCTGTGGATACATCAGGGAAAAGAGAAGCTTCTCTTGCCCTCATGGAGTTTATATTCTAATAGGGAGACAATCATTAAACACGTTATTGCAAGTATGATGAATGTTACTGACAAGGGGTGTGTATTGCAAGGTGGAACAGGAGTGCCTAACGGGTGCTCTCCCCTTGTGCGGAGGAGTCAGGGAAAGTTTCCAGTAGAAAGTAACATTTCAAGAGACTTGAGTGAGTGCAAATACTTTAGGATGGTAATGGGAGGTTCAATTACATATGTAGTTGGTTCAATGTAATATGTAGAAAGATATTAAAAACATCACTGTGGCTGTTAAGGTAAGAAGAGATTGGAGAGAATTGGCCAAACAGAATGTGTGACCAAGTAGTAAGTCATTTTTGTTGTCTACGTAAATAATGATGGTGGCTTTGATCCAGGGTGGTGGCAGAGGGCTTGGAGAGAAGGGATGAGATGAGAGAGACACAAAGTTTGAAGATTATAATTGATAAGATTATTAATTGACTGGATGTGAGGATAGGGAGAAGAGAGTCAAGTTAACTTGAGTTTTTTCTTGAGCCACTAAGGATGTCATGTATAGAGAATGAGAACACTGGATGGGGACCAGATTTTTGTGTGCTTTTTTTCAAGAAGGAGTGACTTTTGGACATGTTGAGTTTGAAGTTCCAGGAAGACATCTAAGATCTTTCTCTCACCCTGTCCGCATGTATGATGTGGCATGGTGGAATAGACGAGAGCTCTGGTGAGAGCTCTTTCTAAGACCGGGTACTACTTATTTATTAGCTGTATGATGTTGGACATGTCATATTCTTTTTCTAACCTTTATTTTTCTCATCTGTAAAATATATGTATTCCACGAATTTATACTGATCTCCAGCTATATGTGCACTGTGCTAGGAAGATAGCACTGATAAGATAGTGTTTGCTTTGGAAGTGTTGAGGGAGAAAGACAAATAACCACATACAGAGAGGTATGTAGGCCTTGGTAGAAGAGCACAGCCCCAAGAGATGCTTTTATTCTTCTTTCCTGGGGGGAGGGATCGTGTCTACAGTGGCTTGTGACATTTGATCTTTAACATGAGGTAAGAAAGAACTCTCTAGACCAGCGGTTCTCAACCTTCCTAATGCCACGACCCTTTAATACAGTTCCTCATGTTGTGGTGACCCCCAATTACATTGTTACAAATGGAACATAATTAAAGCATAGTGATTAATCACAAAAACAATATGTAATTATATATGTGTTTTCCGATGGTCTTAGGCGACCCCTGTGAAAGGGTCGTTCGACCCCCAAAGGGGTCGTGACCCACAGGTTGAGAACCGCTGCTCTAGACTGTGTCCCCAGGCACCTAATAGAGTACCTTGCATAAATTAGGGAGTCTGAATATTTGTTGATTGAGTGAACTAACCTAGGTTACTAAGGGCCCATTCAAAAGCAGGAAATATCAAAATATTGAAAGAGAGCAATTAGTAATGCAAATGTCAAATGTGAAATGTTTTTAACAAGTCCATTAACATGTATTCCTGAGATCTGAAGCCTTTGAGATGTTTTGTGGATGAATTTGGGGAAATTCAGAAATATTTCAAATCTGGTTTCCTTTTGATCTTCACTTCCTTTATTCAAGTTAGTTTCTCAGAAATAATGTTAACTGTATATAGTTCGCTAAATCAATGGGTCTTAGACTTTTGAAATTTATAGATAAATAGAATTTTTAAAAATAAGATATAATGGGGGGTGAGTGGTTGACAATAGTTATTTTTTTAATGTCCCCTTTGACTTTTATCTCATAAAGGACATTTAATACCAAAAGCTGTAGGAAGAGCATAATTTAAAAATTAAGAATATATTTAGCTTTATAATTTTTTTTTTACATTTTCTTTATTTTCTTACTTTGTTGGAGAATGGTTTAAAGAAGACAAACAATAGCCCTAGCCGGATT